CTACTCCCTCAAACGATTCAACACATTCGCGGCTATAACACCGTGTGGCCTTTAAAGGAAAGAAGACAGGTGACGTTTCATGCAATGGGCCTTCTTAATAACAAAATCAAGAGAGCCCAAAAAGGTGGTAAAGTGGATAAGAGTTAGACACTGCGCTTTATACACCACGGGGTCTGATGGGAATGACATTTTTTTTAAATGGGTCACGCTCCTGGGTTGTGTAGTTTTGAACCTGGCACCCACACGTAGGTATCACGGTGCAATCTTAGTCCGGTTTGAATGATCAACGTTGGAATTATGGACGAGAGTAAAATGCAGACATATGGGAAAGTCCCGCCAAGGCTCACACGACAAGTCGAGTAACTCGGAAATATCATGGAAACTCCACTTGTTATATTTACAAACGAAATCAACTCGAGTTGCTATTTCTTTCTCACAGTTGCTGAGCTGAAGGCCAAAAAGACCAGCCCCCAAAAACTGCCAAACAGCCGGCAACAAACTGCACAATTGGAAGGCCTTTTGGCGTCCTCTGGTCTAACACCGTTTTAAAGAATAGGTTCAAAAGAAAGCTGTCTCTGATGTGGACCAATCAGTTTCAAAGACAATGCATCATATTTTCAGAGTACTTTTTTGTTTGCATTCTGACCACAAGTATTGTGGTTAATGCAGACATGATTTATTGTAAAAGGTTTCAGTTTGGTGTTTTAACATCTTAACACCTGTTCTGTTGCCAGATAAAAAGGGAAACCCTATTCTCGTAACAGATAAGAGTTGATAACGTTTCTTGAATGACCAAGGATATTTTTATTAAGAGCAAGAGGGTGGAAGGAGGGAGAGATGATGGGAAGGAATTCAAACGTGAAGCAGTGCTAAGGGAAAAGCAGAAAGAGAAGTGTGTGTATGTTGAACTTCTTTCGCACCGTACGTAGCCAACCGTGCTAATCGCAGGCGTGAGGGAAGGTCAACAAACTAAAGACAAAAATAAGTTCAAAATAAGTGAGTTTTCAATTTAGATATGGAAAAGTGCATAGCTCTGACCTGCAGTGTGGTAGTTGAGTGGTTGGGTCGATGAGTGTCTGAGTAATTGAATAGATGAGTGATTGAGTGGCTAAGAGAGAGTGTATGGGTGGGTGTGTGAATGATTGAGTGGGTGTGTGATTGATTGGGTTAGAGTGATTGAGTGGTTGATTATGATGTTGTAACCTGTAGTGTGGTGGTTGAACATCGTGTGGTTGATTAGACGAAACAGTCAGTATGTTATACCGAGTCCTCAAAAGTAACCATGGTAGTAGCAATATTTTAGTCATAATAATGACCATAGAGTAATAATAATAATGCCAATGTCTCTAGCCCAGTATCACGGCTAGCCATTTCCCCAGCGCGTGGGGGATGTGGGCGCTCATTGCGTCTGTGAGGAATCCGGTTGACTCAAGTGCAGCTAGAGAGTTATCTATGTAAACAAATGTTACCGTAATTCTGAATTGGCTTTCAAGTGGGGTTTTCAGAGGTTTAGCAGTGAGGGAGTGTTAGTCCGCCACCTTGTGGTCGCTCCTAGAACTGTGCATAACCCTCCATCCCAGATACTGTGATTTCAAATATTGTTAAAATCCCCCCCACACCCAATAAGGGGGTCGATAAAATAAGTACTACGCGTTTTTGTGTGGTCGCCACGGGGGTAATTGCCTCGTTCCGCCAAAGGTCCACACAGAGCATCTGAACAATCGCCAATGCAAAATGCCTCTCGATCATCTGGAGAGCAAAATCCGCACCAACGCTTACACTTTGTGAAGCGCAGCATGGGGTTACCAATACTTTTGGCTTCCAATACTTTGTAGATCCTTTGTTCGAACATGTACACCATGCAAACGTTAAACATGGAACGTTGGGGCAACGTTGGTTCAACGGTCACTGCATCGCGCGGCAATTTCAGTTCCGCTTCTGCGGCCGTCTGGAACGCTCTTCCTGTCGATATTAGGAAGCTACAGGAGCGATGCACTTTAAAATCGTCCAGATTGAAACCAAATTTCTTTAGAACTATTTTTTTCTGCTTAGTTTGTTGTCCTTCCTCTGCACATCCGATTAGCGCGGTTGATCTCGTACGGTGTGAAAGAAGTTCAACATACACACAGGTCTCTCTTAAAAAATAGTCGTTGTACTCAGTGTGCCTTTCCTGGATACATAACAATTATATTGACAGGGATAACCACAACCTTCCCCATCATCAACACCAATCACCACCATTGCTACAGTCGCATAATTGGGACTCCCTTGTTGTCAATCAATCCACTTCTGGATGAGGGTCTTCCCGCATGCATTAGCGGTCATGTATGTGAGATATTTGACCATATTTCGCCATACTCGTCACTGCATCGTTGTTGACGGCGGGGACCCATCGACAAAAAGTAGTTACAATGGATTCATCTTCACTGCCGGCTGTTGCCCACAAGCTAATTACCCACGTAACCGATACAAGCAGCTAATACTGGTAGGGACCTCCTGGTTACACCAGCAGCCCACAGGGGGTTGTTGTGTCCGTCCGTCGTGCATCCAAAAATGGGAGGGGTGGGGCTGGGTGGGGAGGGAGGGGCTGGGTGGGGAGGGGCTGGGTGGGGAGGGAGGGGAGGGGCTGGGTGGGGAGGGGATGGGGCTGGGTGGGGGGTGGGAGGGGTGGGGCTGGGTGGGGGGTGGGAGGGAGGGGCTGGGTGGGGAGGGAGGGGAGGGGCTGGGTGGGGAGGGGATGGGGCTGGGTGGGGGGTGGGAGGGGTGGGGCTGGGTGGGGTGGGGCTGGGTGGGGCTGGGTGGGGTGGGGCTGGGTGGGGTGGGGCTGGGTGGGGAGGGGCTGGTCACCCCGTGGTGCCCTTATAAAACTCAACGTTTAACCTACTCACGCCGGCTTGTGCCCACCCTCAGTCGGGCATATTTGCGGAACACACCACGTGGTGCCGCCGTTGTTGACCCTGGCCATTGACCGAGGAACCCAACGTTCCTGCCAGCTCCCTCCGCAGGAGATTGTGTTTGTAAAGGGCTTGACGGGTAATTGTTTGCATGCGAGTCTCCGGATTGTAAGAGGCGCAAATCCCCCTCTGCTATTGAAAGCAACAGGTGCGTCTTATAATCCAGTACGAGACCAGATTTGGAAGAAAAAAAAAACTGTATTAGCACGGGGCACGTGCTTGGGCGGGGGGGTCTTATAAACAAGAGAATTGGGAAATAAAGTAAAAAAAAACAAAGTTTATTTAGTGACGGGAAATATTTTAATGTATTTTGTGAAACCCACAGCACGGCTTTGCTACCTGGGTCGCCAGGCAAAGAGCGATTCATCCATTCACGGGCACATCGAATATTTAGCTACGCACTCTACATATTCAAACCACTAAATGTATTATTCTTGGTTCTTTCGGTAAAGTCACGTAGAAGGGAATTTTATTGTTTTATATTTTTATTATTTTATTGTTTCCCTTCTACGTGACTTTACCGAAAGAACCAAGAATATGAATCCCTGCGGTCACGAAATCTTTAAATCAAAACACTAAATGTATTGTCCGTGCATCAAGAGAATAAAACAATAATCGAATACGGAATCGATTCGTTAAATGAAATCGCTTATATGAATTGGATCGAGGGCGAATCGTTCGCCCAGCCCCCCGGCTCGCGTTGCCGCCATTTCCCGTGACCCCTAAGAATCGCGCGGGCCTCGTGGGAACCAATCGCGTGCCGCATTACTGCCGCCGCGGGCCCAACCAGCCAATCGGCGGCTCTTCACATTTCCCAGTGCGAATAAGCTGCGCCCTCGTCGGTTCCCGCCCTTTCGACCACAGTGAAGCGCTATTGGCTGAGCCTGCGCACATGATCCGCGAGCCCCGCCCATCCGCGCTGCGAATTCCAAACCCGGGGTCGTCGCGCGCAACGGGTCGCGACCTCCGACCTCTGACTCGAGGCTCCCGCTCGGTCCAGGACCCCGCGCGCTGCAGGTACCGGTGGCCCTCGGGGAGGGGTTCGCGGGGTCCGCGAGGGGCTCCACCGGGGCCCGAGGATATCGCGGGCGGCAGGTAGCGCCTCGCGTCCATCTGGGCCCCACCGCGGGCGGGGCGTGCGGGAAATGGCGCTGCCGCCTGGGCGAGGCCTAGTGCGGGCCGCGGACCCTGCCCTCTCGCCTGGGCAGAGTGGCCGCGATCGAGATGGGAGGGGGGGGGGAGATCGGTCCCTCCCGAGCTGGGGTCTTAGCTATCCTCTTCCCCCATGCGTTCCCCTTCGTATGTTCTCCCTGACCTGCCTCCGCTTGCTTCAAATGGGGTTTCTTCCCCGCAGCGCAGAACGAGGCGTGGGCGGGGCGCTGGGCGAGGGCCGCGCGACCCCGGCGTGGTTTCAACTCGACCCTTTTACCTTTGCCATCGCCATCATCACCCCGCGCCGTGCATCGCGGCTGACGTCGCCCGCCCTCCCCTCATCGCGGCAGCCCGCCCGCGCCTGTCCGCTCTCGCTCGCTCGTTGTACATGTTATATATGCTCTTGAATTGATGCATTCATAAAAAGAAAAGCGGATTGGGTTAAGCGATAGCTCTTCGCTGCTCACGAGGCATCCGGACGGGGCGGGGTTATGATCAGGGAGAATAGGAAGGGAGGGAGACCCGTTGCGCTGTGGACGATGGTTTGTGCTGACCCGCCCCTTGCCCCGGGTCGGCGCGGCCTGGCACCCAGACCCCGCCGCTGTCGGGGCAGCTCCTCCGCCACGACGCCGTCCTTAGAGTAGAGCGGTGACCGATCTTCCGCTCGCCACTCACAAGCGGGGGAACGTGCGGTAGCGTGTTTGGTTCGGAGGAGGAGTAAGAGAGCTCGAGGCGCTGTGGTCATCGCTCCTTTGGCTCTGCGGACGATGAAGGCGTCAATTCGGGGTCCCGTGCTCTGCTCGGCGCGTCCCGACCCCTGGCTCCTCGCGGTCCCCGCAGCCCCTGGGCCAATGCAACGAACCTGGCCGACCCAAGCACCCAACTGTGCGGGGGTTTACTCGTACACGGCCCATTACGGTCGTGTAATGTATGCGAAACCGTGTCTGTGTTTTACATGCATGTGTATCCGAGTGCAGAGCGATGGCTCGGTTGATTAGCGCACTGCGATATGAACCCAGCGCCCTGAGCTTGACTTCCGGACACGGCTAACGTCAGTGGCGAGTGGTACCTGCACCGATTCTGCGTGGTGAAGTGGGTTTTTTTTTACAAAAGGATGTAAATTATGATTACATGGTTAAATGACTGCGTAGTGTTTAGTGATAGTAATTGTTATAAGTGCTACGTTAGTGTTTTGCAATGAAATGGGGTTTCACGGCTCACGTGTTTATTTTTAAGTCGCGATTGTTTTAAGACAAATTGGTTGACCGCTTCAATTTCATACCTAATTAACTGAATTATTTTAAATGACAGCAGGTCCCCGCGAAATGGCCCGTGGCTCTTGTAGGAGATTTGCAGGCGCTGCCATGCATGACCGCGTTCTCAACCGCAGTGCGAACGCGCGCGTGTGATGATGCGGGAAAACGTATGGCGCTGTCGCGATTATTGCATGCGGACGTGGGGTACTCCATGGTTCTAGCGAAGCGCCAGAGGTAGCAACTGGGATACGGTTCGTATCGGTGGAAAGGCTGGTACAAGTGGCTGGTGGGATAGTTGATTAGGGATAGCACTCAGGGCAGGTTGGCTATTTGGAAAGGCTGGCGAGTACTAGGAGCTGGTTGGCTAGTTGGTTAACGCTAGCGTTTTCTTGGCGAGTGCGCTCCACCGTAACACTTTGCCCCTCCCATTGTCCTTTTCCCGTCTTTTTTGTCCACGTTTTGTGCCATACACACAGCGTTAATTGGGCTCGAATTGGAACGCTGACAACTCGAACCCCCAGAGTGTGCACATGTTACTCGCAGTAGAGGTTCGGGGCAGAAGTCAACCGCCTTGGTGGTGCTTGTGGTGAGACTCCCGTCCTGCGGCAGTGCATATGGACGTCAGCTACACCTTAACCCCAACCACAGCTCCATTAACAGCTGGACTGCAATGTCAGTAATTTAATGATCGTGCCAGACAACATCCAAAACTGTCAATTTAGGTCAAGTATACCAGTTCCACACGTACAAAGTACAGATGTTGCCAGAGCAAGTTGGGGAAACCCAGCCCTTACTTAGCATTGAGTCCGAATGTTTTTCTCCCCATCGGTTTTTACCAGGACAACACGCACGTGTTTACAACATGTTGAAGCACAACAAACTCTTATCCAAGGGCACACATTATTGACTGTTTATTATGTTTAGGGGCTTTGCATGCACGTGCTTTTGGTATACAAGAACAATCCACTACTGGGCGAGGGACTGCCCATACATTACCGGTTATGGGGTTTTTTGGTCAATACTTCACTCATCCGGTGCCAGTTCAGTGAAGAGGGGGTACCAGGCCAAGTTGAGATCATTTGCCACTCATGTTAGCCATGGCCAGGAATTCAACTCAGGTTGGTGGGTTCATAGCACAGTGCGGGAACAACTGCGCCAGCCCTCTGGGACCCATTATCTGTATATAATGTGTGTTTATGGTATGTATGAGTATCAAGTGTACGTGTTTATTGTGTATACCATGTGTATATGTTGTAAGTGTATCTTGTGCATATGTATATCATGTGTTATGTGCGTCTATATATTAATATATATATTTTGCATTACCAGTAGCCGCATGAAAACGACCAGTTACTTTGCTGTACATAGAAAATGTCTATGGATCGGTCATCGGTTCTGAAAATGTTTGCCAGGTTACCGGTTCCCGTGTAACAACAACCTTGTGGTGTTGTTGCTGCCAGATTTCTGAAAAGAGAACAATACAGAAAGCAATATAATATAACTTTATTTCGTGCATGTGTGTATCATGTATGTTTGTTGTGTGCATGTGTTTTGTGTATTTATGTATGTGAGTGTATGAGTGGGGAGCGGTAGTGCAGTGGCTAGCACACTTCACTACGAACCCTGGTCACCACAGTTCGATTAAGGCTCATGGCCAATAATAGTGGCCAATATCTAAACTGGTACCGGGGCGCCCCTCAGTCGACTCGTCTTTAAATTCATACTCGGTGCAGTGTGTAAACACCAGCTCTGGGCCACCCACAGCCTCGTGCACTGTGTTGGCCTTCAAAGGCGCTCGCTATAACAGCACTTGCCCCGACAATCTTTTATAGGCTATAATGGGGTTCTTTGTTTTGCATGTTTGTCGTTTGCTTGCGTATCGTGCGTGCATCATGTATGCTTATCGTATGCTTGTGTCTCGTGTGTATGTGTGGTTTCGCCAGGCTTGCCGGCCCTGCTGTGCCAAGCAGAGGCCTCACCAGTCCCGGCTCGGCTGCCGGTACCATGGAGGACCTCGCCCACCAGATTGTGGAGCAGCACGTCGCCGAGGTGGCTCTGGCGCCGGGCGCATCGCACACGCGCTGCTCAACCACTCCACTGAATCATTCCAGTGAAGCACTCCAATAAACCACTGCAGTAAACCAGACCGCACACCTACATAAACCAGTCTATTACAACACTCCACTCAACCAGACCCTACATTTTACATTCAAATAAATCACATTACCTAACGACTCCACTAAACCAGACCCCACACTCACTAACTACACTACTAAACCACTCTACTAAACCAGACCCCAAACTCGCATAAACCACTCGCGAAACTCGCACAACACTCTACTAAAACCCCTTATTAAACCAGAATCCTAAACCAGACTTAAACATTCTCCCATATTCTAAACCCAACACTTTCCTAAAATAGACATCACATCTTGTTAAACCATAAGCCAGACATGCTGTTTGCCTAAGCAAAGTATCGGGTTCTTCCTGCTTGCAGTCCACACTGTCAATTTTCAGGTCGCTCTAATTCAGGGGGTAACAGTTTAATTCAAGAATCAGTTCTGTATTGTTCTTGTGATACATGTCGACTCTATAGTGATTTGTGAATCTGTAGACTGAACAGTGATGTGAATCTGTGAAATATACTGTAGAATTTACAGTAATCCCCAGGTCACGCTTGCGAATTGAGTTCTTACCTGATTAATCAAAATAAACTGAACTATCTGTCTTTATATAGAATCTTCCAAGGTGTGAATCTGTAGTAGCGTGAATCTGTGAAATCTAGTCGCATAAACACATATGCTTTCGTTGATTTTTTGCACGTATGATATTTAATTGTAATTGACAACATTATTATTTGACGGTTAAACGCTGTGCCAGTGTATAGCGGTTTGGCTGCGCCGTGTCGCGCGGGTTTATGACACGGTCTCTGTGGAATGCTCGTCTCATAACTGGCGGTCTGCGAAATGGTTCAGGCATCCCAGATGACGCTGATGGGGGCGCAGGCCACACTCGTGGGGAGCCCTCTGTTCAACAGCCCGCCGCAGAAAATCCAGATCGTCTCCACCGACCCCTCACTCGGCAATCCTCACCGCATCCAGGTGCCGGCGTTACCGCGGTCCGTTCTTCGTGGGAGATTAAGTCATTGGGTTCCTGCGGGGGGAACAGTGCGTGTGCAGCCAATCGCCTGCGAGCTTGCTTCCTCTCTCACGAGCTGCCCAAGCCAATAGAATGTGATGTATTCTGTTGTGGGGTAGTCAGAACAATCGTTGAGTCCAAAAAGGGGAACCATGTTGTCGCCCTTGCTGGCGCGTGGTTGGCCAGCACACCTACTACGCGGTACCCAGTTATTTATTCGTAAGTGTGAAAATAACCTCGTCAATTCGTTACCGTTTTTTGACGCACAATTTCTCGTGTGGAATTGCTTGGCGAGTAAACAATTCTGGATTTTTGGCGTGCGGCGGGATGGGGTCGGGTGGTTGGCATTGAGGGTAGGTCGCGGCAGTCAAAGGATCAACGTGCGGTGGTGCGGCCTGGCAGATCGTGACGGACCAGCAGACGGGCCAGAAGATCCAGATTGTAACGGCGATGGAGACCGGCGGCACGCCACCCAAACAGTTCGTGTGGGCCACGGCGGACGACGGGCACGGCGGGGGCAAGCTGATCCTGGCGGGCACGCCCGAGCATGGCGCCCAGGGCGGCAAGATCATCCTCGCTACGCCTGACGGCCTCGGAAGCCGCCAGCTCATCCTTACCACCCACGACGGCAGCGGCGGCACGCCGCAGCGTCTGCAGGTGCCGACGACATCTTGTCTAGTGCGGTGGAGCTTCGTGCCAGTGAGCTAGAACTTTTGTAGCACCGTGGAGGAGTATGGCCACTTACAAGCGTGGTCATTGTAACACGTAGTGTTGTCAGCGCTTGTCCGCACGCTCTCTCTCCGTATCATGCTGGTTGGATAAGAAATGTGGGAAAGTTATAGAGAAAATGGAACAAGAAATCCAAAGTGCGCGCAAAGAGGCGTGGGAGAGACGACGCATGCTTGAGATTACGCTGAGACAAAAAGATGAACACACGGATTGGAGAATGTTCACCGGTTACGGACGTACTTTTTGATAACAGAAATTATTGGGCTCTGGTGCAGGACACGTGCATGGAAGGGATGATTGGTTGTGGCACTGCGGTGGCAAGATATTACCTCGCCTGGTATACAGGAGGTCGTGGGTTTGATCCCGACCCTGACGCCTGTATATTTGGAGTTTGCAAGTTCTCCCCTCCACATTTAGAAATATGCGTTTAGAGTATTTGACCGCTATACATTTCCACATGATAAACCACTTCATTGAGTTATCATTTGTGGCCAGTCGCTTCTGAAAAAGAGCTATATAGCTCAGTGGGGCTTACCTTGTAAAATAAAAACGGTTAAATTTTTAGTTTAAAAATAGTACATTTTTTTAGGTTGTTGAGACTCCTAACGGAGTGGCACTTAAAGGAGGAAAACCGCCCAAGACGGGGCAATTCAAATGTAGCCAGCAGGATTATTGCATCGGAGTCTCGTTGTTTGGGATGCAACAGCTTGGCGAAGAAGCCCTTCATCTCATCCAGCAGTGGATTGATCATGGGCTTGTGATGATGATGATGACCTCACCCTCGCTGTGATGCAGATCATCACGGAGCAGGCGTCCGGAGAGCACATGGCCGGGCTGCGCAAGGACGACGGGCAGCAGAGGGCGGTGGACCCTGCGAGTGGCCTCCTCAAGCTGCCCGTCGAGTTCTGCGTCGTGTGCGGCGACCGCGCCTCAGGTGAGCCTTGACCCCGCTTGGGTCACGACCCTCAACCCCCGGCCCTGACCTTGGACATCCCTCGGAATGACGATGGTGTTTTCATGTGAGCCTCTTTCTCTGAGCCTGATTTGGCGATGTGACGGCAGCAGAGGTACTCGTGGTGTTGGTGGTGGTAGTGGGAATGGCCAAGGTGGCGGCGGCTGTGTGGATGATGTTGGTGATGTTGTTGTTGGTGGTGATAGTGGAGGCTGTGTAGTTGGTAGGCTGTGCTTGGGATCACTCTGTGTGAGATGGTGTTGGGAATTGTGGTTAAGCAGCACAAGCCATAAACCTTTCATCTATAACTCCTGTTATACACACGGTAACCGCCCATCCGCTCGCTATCCAGACTCAATTCTCTACTTAGCTTCTGAGATTTGGCAAGATCGGGCGCATTCAATGCCGGTGTTATAATTTGTGGGTGACTTTACTGAAATGTAGGTGACGCTAATTCATTTCTGAGCTGGCGCAATCTGTGCTGGTCCTGGAGTAAGGGTGAGAACCGGTTGCCCTGTTCACCCGGCGATTGTGTGGCTGTGCGTCGGCGTTGGCGGTACAGGGCGGCACTACGGCGCCGTGAGCTGCGAGGGCTGCAAAGGATTCTTCAAGCGCAGCGTGCGCAAGAACCTTAAATACACGTGCCGTGGCAGCCAGGATTGCGTAATCAACAAGCACCACCGCAACCGCTGCCAGTACTGCCGCCTGCAGAAGTGCTTCAACGTGGGCATGAAGACTGAGTGTGAGTCGCGGTTGTCGTTTGACTGGGCTTCACCAAGCTTGTCAGTGCGGCTTTGGTTGCGGGGGGGGGGGGGCGAGGGGGGTTGGTAGTGCGACGGCCGCCCACGACCACTTGGGTTGTCACTTGCCACGAAACCTTAGCCGTTGCCGGGAATTGAACTCAGGTTCTTGGGTTCATCTTCTGCATGTGGTGTATATTCGAGTAAATAAATGAATTGCGGCCATTCTCAATCCACCGTTGGATGAGAACCTCCGCACGCCGTGCGGCTAGTGGCACTGACATTTGTCATTCCTGGTTGGTGAAGGCAAGAAGCATAGTTGTGGGAGCATAGAAGAATAGCACAACAAATGATATTGCCACATTTATTTCTGCCAACAACGTAACCCCACAGCAGCCTTTGACAATTTGGCAGTGAAAAATCTTTTCAGATTTATGATAATATAATTTTAAAAGAGGGTTCGAACTGTGGGGGGTTGTTGGATGGGTGCGGGGTGGGCGGTGTTGGCATTGGGGGCAACCGTGTTGACGGTGCGACTGCGTGCGTCAGCCGTGCAGTGCGAGCGCAAGCCGATCGAGACGATGCGCGAGAAGCCGGCCAACTGCGCCGTGTCGTCCGACAAGATCTACATCCGCAAGGACCTCCGCAGCCCCATGGCCGCCACGCCCACCTTCGTCACGGACAAGGACACGTCGCGGTAAGCGGCGCGAGGGTGCGCGGCGTCCCTCCCCCCCCACCGTGCCAGTCGTCGAGGCCTGGTTGTGGCTGCCTGTGCACGCTGTGCGGTGTTAGACGCAGTTTCTGAACGTGCTGTTTTTGACGCAGTCCCTGCGTGTGGTTTCACGTAGTTGAGAATGGAATCTCCCTGCATACCACAAACTCGATGAATAGTCGCGGGGGGAGGGGGGGGGTCACGAGTAAAGTTTTAGGATCAATATTTCTTTTGCCGTTTGTTATTTACGCCCTTTTTTCATTGTTTTTCTCAAATTATGTTTGTTCTGTTATCTGATATGAAACGTGAGCATATAATTCCCGTACTTTGCGAGTAATATGTACGTGCATGATTCTCAGTCCACGTTTCTTGAACTCGAGAATCGATTTAGACCGTCGTGTAGAATTTTTAACACTTTTCACGTCATTGCATCTCAGAGCACCTACGAGTGCGTGCATGGTCTTACGGTTGCAACAGCCTAAAAAATATACCACAGTACCTTGTTGCGTAGAACTTGAATGTGATAACCAGAAAATACTTACTGTGATAGCCCAAAAAGGGGCGGTGATATTGCCCAGTAGTAATGCGTTCGTCGTTTGTTACAGAGGTTCGTGTTTTGAATCCAGCGGCCAACCTGGTTCTTATTGTGGTGTGTATTAGCCAAAATAATATTACACGCCGTCTGCTTAACAGTGGTTGTTAAAGATCCCATGACGTCGTTTGCAAGAATTGCCCGTCGTGTGCCAGCAAATTACTGAATTGGGATCATAAACTGCAACCATCATTGCCCCCCCCCCCCCCCCCGTGCAAGGGAGGGGGGGGGCAATGATGGTTGTAAAATTTGAAATTCACAAAGGCGGGACACGGTTCACCAGTGTAAATCTGGGAGCAGCAAGGTGGATCTTTGCCAGCGTGTATTGCCGTGCGGGGTGTGATGCTGGTGCGCGGTGTTCCGCAGGACGGCTGGGCTCTTTGACTCGGGGATACTGGTGAGTGTTCAGCAGCCGCTCTTAAGGAATGAGAGCGCTCTGCTGGTAAGCATTGGGGGGGGGGTTCCCACACCCACCTCCACATGCCCCCGGCCTCTAGAACACAGAACCAACACAAGTGCCCTGTGACCTGCAAGTGGAGATGCCTAGGTCGGAGAGGGGGTTGAGTGCTTTCCATCGTTATTGAGTTCAGGGTTTGACGCTGAAACGTTTAGCTTCAGTTGGATGGTCACTTTAGAGTTATGGGTGGTAAATGCGTGGTTATGGTAGTGGTGCGGTTGTACCACAATCACAGCTGAGGGTGTGGTTTTATGGTTCATAGTTAAGGCTGTAGTTGTCGAGGGTTGGTGATTGTGGTAGTAAGGACGGCCACATACAGAGACGAGAGTAATGAGATCAGCCCTTGTGTAGAAGTGAGATCAATCGTGGCATTGCAGGACCATGATGGATGGCGATGAAGCGTGAAAGCTTCCATCCAGAAGTACATAGACCGACCGTGCCTGATGATAATAATGACAATTCTACTTTCATGGTTGAGGCTGTAGTGTTAGTGGGTGGTGTTTACTGCAGTATGATTGTCCATTTATAGTTAAGGCTGCAGTGGTTAGGGTAGTGTGGTAGTTGGTCCACATTCACTACTGGGGTCAGCGATGATTACATCATCGAGCTCTGGCCGCCGGTTCACCTACGTCGATGTGTGCATTGCCACACAGATGGAGACGAGCCAGGGAGACCTGAGCACCCTGGCCAATGTCGTGACATCACTCGCCAACTTCGGCAAGGGCAAGGAGGACTCGCCGGGAGCCACCACGACCGCCGCCAACACCAGCGCCAGTTCTGCCAGCTCCTCTGGGGAGCTGCCCGGCCTGGACACGCTGAGCAACGGAGAAACCTCGCTGACAGAGATCGCCCCCGACAGCCAGTCGGCCAGCGAGATCACGCGGTCAGCGTGCGTGCGAGCAGATCTCACGCGCACGCACGAAGATCACGTGCATATCACGCACATCCACACACGCAGATTATGCATGCGGATCCCACACGCTGATCGTACATGCACGCACACGCACAGATCATGCACGCAAGTCACGCACACCCTGATCACGCACATATGCACGCTCGAAGACCCTCGCACGCACATGCACACACGCAGATCGCACACACCCGCTGATCATGCACACGCTCACTGATCACGCACACAAATCACGCACGCTAGCATGCACGAGCACATAGCACACGTTGTGCATTTACATCAGGTGTCATTGTCGCTTTTGTACTTGAACATTGTATTCTATTGTGGAGCGCCCTGGGATGCTCCGCATGTAGAGCACTGAGTAAAAGCGAACCGTGTCGTGTGATTGTGACATGATGATGCACTACACACCGTTGGGCGGAGGGATTTTTTTTAGTTTAACCCCTCTTTCCCTGCAGTTTAAACCCACAGGTGTTATTATTCGGCGGAGACAACTCCATTCGGAACTCTCACAGCGGGCAGCGAACAACCTTTGTCTGCGAGAACAGCCCCAGAAATTAGTTTACAGAGCTAATCCTGAGGTCGCTTCAGGAGGCCTTTTCATCCACACTAGAGGTGCACAGCTTCTATACGCCCAGCAAAGAGAGTGATTTTTGGATGTGAAACCTAAATATAAAATGTATTCTACAATAGCGATGTTGGCGGTCAAAGAGAGTGACAGTGCCACCCACCCCTTCCCCTACCGCCCCCCACAGGGCATTCGACACTCTGGCCAAGGCCCTCAATGCGAGCGAGGGCGGCGGTGGCGGGGAAGGGCCCGATGGTGCGGCCTCCATAACCGGTTCTAACTCCACGAGCCTGCAGCTCATGGGCGCCAACGACCAGAATCTCCCGGTGATCGAGATCGACGGCCCGCTCCTCACCGACACGCACGTCTCCTTCAAGGTGCCCGCCGCTCGGCCTTTACCCTGCTACGGCCTTCACCCTGCTCTGGCTTTTTGTCTGGCCTTTGACCGTCAGGGGTGATGGTGGCGGCTTGTAGAGATGGCTTTGAAATTGAGCTGTTTTGAATCAGTTACACAGGGCAGCTGATGGTGGGTGACCTCAAAGGAGCCAAGCTCGGTGTCACTCGAAAGCCAGGCGACAGAGTTGAGGCTTTATGTGTTTCTTAAAAGGTCGATGCAGATTGCATGCTGCTGTTGTGAATGCGCAGCGGGGACGATGGTCGTGCTCCGGATGGCCAGGGCTGCCACAGAAACGATGCCCGGCAGTAGCCATGGTCCGGGTCCTTGGTGTAGAGAGGAGGAGGTTGTGAGTGGCGTTGCTGTGGAGGAGAGTTCTACCGTGAGCTGTAGTGCAGGGTGACGGCAGCGAAGAGAGACGACCGAGAGTAGAGGGGCGGTGGGTGGCACGGGCAGCAGGCGATCCATGTAGCCCACCCTGCTGGCGATGGTGGAGAAGCAGGTGGAGGAAGGTGAGGGAATCTAGCCGAGGATGACGCAGGCGAGATGGGTTTTCCAAAGTGCAGCTGTTGCTGGTGGATTTTTGGTGCTGATACGTTGGGGGTGGCCATAAAGGATGACCATAAGGAACCTGTTATTTTAGGAGCTGTTGTAGATGTTGGGGATGGTAAATGTGGGGCAGTTCTGAAGGGTGGCTGTTTGGAGAGAGAACCAAAAAAAAAGACTGAGCTGTTGGAGACAGCTAACCTCAGCTGTTGAGGCCAGAAAAAGTGGGTGGCTCCTGTGGGTGGCAGTCAGGTCTGGTTGCGCTCGCTCTGAGTAAATGTGTGCCGGGTGTGCTCATGCATAACCATCCGTACGTGGCCATATGTATGTGCTTGTCTGCTCTGGTGCATGTGTTGTGTGTGTGTGTACATGCGTGCATATGTATGTGTGCGCGCGCGTGTTCAAATGCGTGTACGTGATTTTTACATGTTTGTGTACGTGTGCGTTCCCGTGTGTGTGTGTCTGCCTGTGCGAGCAGCTGACGATGCCGTCGCCCATGCCTGAGTACCTGAACGTTCACTACATCTGCGAGTCGGCGTCGCGCCTCCTCTTCCTCTCCATGCACTGGGCACGCTCCATCCCCGCATTCCAGGCCCTGGGGTACCTTGACACATCCGACAAATGCCCTGCACACACCCTGTACACACACACACACCCTGTACACACACACTGTACACACACACACCCTGCACAAACACATACTCTGCACACACACCCTGCACAAACACATATACTGCACACACACTCACCTGGCATACATTTGGGATCTGGCTTACTGCTCCTCTTCTCCACTAAATCCTAACCTTTGCCTTCATCTCCACGTCCACCCCACAGTCCTTCGCATCCTCGTTCACCACTTGGAACCACCTTTCTCAGCCTGCTTTTTGCTCTCCACCCTGGGTGCTCCTTCCATTGGACTTTCCTTCTTAAGACCCGAGTCGACTTTCCTTCAGCCCTACGCAGAGGGGGGGAGGGGGGGAAACCGCACTTGCCTTTTTCTTCGTTTCTTCATTTAATTTCTAATGCCCCGACCGGCACTGTGTGTCGTATTCAAAGAGAGGACAAGGCGTGGTTTACGCCCGCACACACTCGTCACACTTTGCACGGTGTCACGTGAAAACCCGGAGCGCCCGAGCCATCAATCTCTCGCTCCGTCTACGGTGCCCGAGGATGGGTGAGACCTCTTTATTTTCCCCAACATGCTGTGCAGCCAGGAGGGCAACACGGGGCTGGTGCGGGCCTGCTGGAACGAGCTCTTCACGCTGGGCCTGGCGCAGTGCGCCCAGGTTATGAACCTTTCCACCATCCTCACCGCCATCGTCAACCACCTCCAGGCCAGCCTGCAGCAAGGTGTGGGGGGGGCTTGGGGGGATGTCACAGTCATACAGGGTCATAGGGGCAGCATTGGAGTGTAGGGGAGCAGGGATACGAAGGGAGAGCAGTGGTGGTGGGTTGGGGGTGGAGTGCACGTGTAAAATTGAGGGTTCATTGGGCGACGTGAGGCTTTTGGGCAGCTCGAACCTGACGGTCTTAGCGAGACGTGACGTCGTTGTTCCATGTGTGACGATCGATGGATTAAAATCGATTGTCACGGTCAAGGTAGCTGCATCAAGTTGTGCATGTGAGGCACTCGGTGCTCCGTGAATAATGAGAACTATATTTACATCATATGCTAAAAATGCAGTGGCCAATGCTCCAAGCAATGGTGATGATCCATTCTGTTGGATCTCAATGGGCTCCACAATCCACCAGAAAGCTATGACCAACAATATCTGAATTGATTCAACCCTGAAATATACCAAAGACTAAAAGTACTCGCGCAATTTTTTTTTGCGTTCCACGTATTGGGCCACCACTGCTGTAGGCAAACAGAAGGAGCAAGATTCTTCTTCACGGTCAATGCCCCAAACTCTTAACAATTGTCCAAATCTTGAATCGTTACATGCCGATTTCAAGCGTGGTTAAGTTGGTAAAGTTAAAAGTTATTTGTGGACAGCCTGCACGCACTTAGCTATCTGGCGAGTTTGTCATTGCGTACCGAGGGCTTTGATGCTCCCCGAGATGGGCAGGTGGCCCCTCTGCGTCACATTCAACTCCCGGTTGCATCTGCTCGGCAGACAAGCTGACGACAGAGCGGGTCAAGGTGGTGATGGAGCACATCTGGAAGCTACAGGAGTTCTGCAACAGCATGAGCAAGCTCAACGTGGACCCTTACGAGTACGCCTACCTCAAGGCCATCATCCTCTTCAGCCCCGGTGTGTGGACGGGTCCTGTCATCACCACCCCCCCCCCCAGCACCCCACTGCCCCAACTTCCTCCCCGTCCACAGCTCTCACTGCATCAACAGCCCCCTCTCAATCTCACGCTCTCACGTATGCGCCGGCGAGGGGAAGTTGATCCGCACCGCCCCCCCCCCACCCCTTGACGATCCCCAGTGCTGTCCGACCATCGGGTACACCGCGGGTGTGCGGCTGTAGTCCAGATGGCAACAGCTGCACTGTAATAATGCAGTGGGGCAGGGTGGGAATGTGTTTTGCATTTTTTGTTTTGAGGCTTCGTTCACGAGAAGAAAAAAACATACTTTTGACTTTATGAGCGCGACATAGCACCCTCTAGTAATGCGACTCGTGTTGTAAGGCAGTGTACACTCTAGTAGTACCCGTAATGTTACGGACCTTTTTACGGTGGTGCGTCTTAAAGTTTTCGTTTGAACGCTTTCTGACTAAGGTTGAAAGTGTTAATGCGTGAGCTCTGTCCATCTGCACCTCTGATTAGCACAGTTGGCTACGCACGGTGCGAAAGAAGTTCAACATACATACATCCATCCATGTGTCTGTAACGGAGGTGTGGTGGGGGTAGGCATGGTAACTTCCATTGTAAACGATGCAGTAAAAAAAACCTGTAGTAGAATGTCATGTTACTATCAGGGATTTATTCGATGAAAAACTGATTGACCTTTGATCACCCCGGCCGGCGGCGATCTGAGCTCGCCATCTTGAGCGAACGCCCCTCGTCACGTGCCCCCCCCCGCCGTTCTTCCGTAGACCACCCGGGGCTCGTCAACACGGCGCAGATTGACCGCTTCCAGGAGAAGGCGCACGTGGAGCTGCACGAGTACATGAGCAAGAGTTACCCCGACGACCCCCACAGGTTAGCGCCGTGGTCGCCCGCACGGGGCGGAACCAACCAACGACGCGTCGTCTTTCGGTGGATCCCTCGCGGTGTGGTAAAAGCACGGCCAGTTGGACCAACATGTTTTAAGATATTCGGTGCGATTAAAACATCAGAATCCGATGAGCTATAAAGCTCTTTTTCATAGATTCCCAGTACATCTCAATGTAAGAAAAGTTGCCCTTGCAAAAAGGCTGTATAGTGCATCTTAATGGATCTATTCCATCTTACGGTTAAATAAAGGAGACTGACAGACACCTTGGACGTGATCGTGTTCAAATTGTCTGTGTGCTATGAAAAAGGGCCGTTCCCGCAGTGTTATTGACGAATGTGTCGTTTGTTTATTGCAAAGGACACATTCGCATCCGCGTTGCCAAATTATTTGTACGAATCGGTGAAATTACAAAACGATGCCATACAATCGGGGCTTAATTTCTCTCTTCGCACGACGACCATCGTTGTTGTTCTCGTGAATGTCACTCATTGGTTCCTCCACCCTTGTTGAGGACTCGTCTCATCCACACTGTGCTCAACCACCAGCTCCACACTACATTTCACACTTCCCTTTCTACTTCTTCCCTCGCACTGGAAATATCACCCCAAGTTCCCCCATGACCTTGCTCAATTCTTATCTGTTACAACTTTAACAGTGCTGTTTGTTGCTGGACTTGTTCTCAGCAACCTCCTAGTCACTTTCCCATTTAGAGAACACACTGGCGAATGCACGTGACTGACGCGTGTGTGCGCGTGTGGGGGAGTGGTAGTGTAGTGGTTAGTGTGTTGCGCTACGAACCCGGCGACTCGGATTCGATTCCCGCTCGGTCAACACTAGTGACAATTATCTAAACCGGTCCTGGGCCTCCTTTAGGTCTACTCAGCCTCAAATGAGTACCTAGTGCGCTGTGTAAACATTGCCACTTAGGAGACGAAGGCGTTTGGGCATGTTGCTGACAACCCAACCCCTCATGTACCATGCCGACCTTCATAGGTGCTAGCTAACGGCAACAATCTGTGTTAAGGCTATACGGGGATCTTTGTCTTTGTGTGTGGGGGATGCAGGCTAGCGCGGCTACTCCTGCGGCTGCCGGCGCTCCGTCTCATGAGCTCCAACATCACGGAGGAGCTGTTCTTCGCGGGGCTTATCGGCAACGTGCAGATCGACAGCATCATCCCCTACATTCTGCGCATGGAGACGGCCGAGTACAACAGCCAGATCACGGGCACCAGCGCCTGAACGCACGTGCGCCTGAACGCACGTGCGCGTCGCCGGCATACCGGATTGGACCGACTCCCGGTGGACTCCTGCGGTCGCTGGAGAAGTCCAGCAATGCTGCCGAATCGCCATGGCCGCATGAATCCGCTTCCAGGACCGTGTCCTCGTTGTAACCGCACCTTCGCCGCGACGTGGGTCGCGCCACTGTACGGCTGACCGACGTTTTCCTTGGGCCACCGTTGTCGCCACCACTACCAGACTGCGTTGCCGCACCGGTGGCCCCAGTTTGTGGTGGGGGCGGGGCTTCCATGTGCCGTGTTGACTTTTCAACTCTGGCTTGAGCGTGGACTCGTTCGGACTTGCGTGGCTGGCATGACCACCGCCACTGCTGCCGTTTACCACGGTCATGGTGCTGGCGTCGCCACCGCCATGTGGCCAGGTGGAACTTTGTCGACGTAAGAGTTTGGAAGAACCCTTCAGCACGAAACAGGAGGCGTCTTTTGTGCAGCATGCGCAAAGACCAAGCTGCACACACTCGCACACGCCGCACAGTGTTACAAAAGAAATGTGGTGCGGACGGGCCAGGCTTGCCAAGCTGCTACATTGCTGTGACACCGTAGAGGGGTTCAGAGGGGAGGTGAAGGGAAATACCCCCCCGTCCCCAGGCCTGAGGTTCGAAGGCTACAGAGTTTGGTCTCCTCCCTCTGGGTGTTGTGTTGCGGAGCGTTCCACCTTGCCCAGGTCATCACGGGAGTGTTTCCTGCCACAACCCCCGGCTCGCACAACCACAGTGGGAGTGTGTGCTTGCGCCTGTGTATTTTACTCAACTTTGTCAGGACAATCAAGGAGTTTTCCTAATCTGTCGTGTACGTTTCCTCCCAGCGGTGGTGGAGATTTATTTAAAAATTGCTCAGTATTTTTTTATTTTATAGAGCGACTAACGCGCCGATACGATTCTGGCTTTTGAATCAACAGCAAGCGCCGTGGACGAGCAGCGCATTTTGTACATTCACTCTGCTACTTGGTTCACTCGGCGTATTGCCCTCATTTTTTTATTTGAGATTTTTTTAGGCATCTGAGTCGACAAATATGTTCCACCGGAACTGCCCCCTCCCCCCCCTTGTTGTTGGTCAGCCTCATCCATTTTAATTGCGTATGTGTGCCGTCCAACATCAGCTCAGTGGAAACGACCGCCGGCTTGACCTCTCCCATGAGTGACACTCGTCCGCGGGGCCACGTTCTCCACTGCTAAGTGAGACCGCGGAGATGCCACAAAAGTTGGTGCTCGCGCCGGACTGGGTGCTGCTGTGTTGGCGACTAGCCGGTTCTACTGAGACAGGAGCTACCAACACCACCACAAATTGCCGCGTGGCCGCCGGGTTCTCCCTGGAGGCGTCCACGTTAAAGTCGACAGCCCAGCGGTCCCGAATCAGTCCCGGATCGAATCCGAATCCTTGCACTTCACCGGAACATGGCAGGCAGACCATGAGCTGTGCTCCCACCGCCACCACTACGTGCTTGTTTTAGCTGGAGTCGTGCTGTAAAAAAAAAAACATTCTTTTTATGATCTGTATAATTTGTTTTATATTAAAAAAACCCCTGCTACTTCCTGCTGGAACGATCGCGGTAGTTTTTGTGGCACTGGGGACGCCAGCGGAGAGGAGTGTTTTGGGGCTGCGCCAGGGTCCAGCACTCCCAGCAAATCAGGCGACGGCACTCCCTGGGGAAGCGTGAAACGAAGCTGGTGTAGGCGTCCCAGCTGGTGCCAAGAGCACAGCCCAGAGCAGTCAGGGGGTGCCCCAACATTCGCTACCGATTGAATCTGGAGCCATTAAGAGCTGCCAACACTAATTGCCTCTTTTTAGTAGGTGGTAACAACTCTTTATCAAAGCGTGCATATTGCAGTGGGATCACCTACGCAAACGAGTAGGCGTGCAATTCGTGCGCGTGCGAATTTACTTTGTTCTGCGAATCTCCATATCACTTGAGACCTGACGCATATTGGTCAAAATGCATTTCACTCATTTCACTGTCGCATAAGCGACTCCATAGTCGAGAAGAATTGGGCGCTCGGCCCAAACGTCTCCTTGCTCTTCCCAGGCGAGCGTGTTCTCCAGGCCCAGTGTCTTACCCGAGCCAGGTGAACACCTGGGCTGTCCACCTGTTCGATCCACGTGTTATACCTAGCAGACCTCGGATCAAATTAAAATTACAAATGCAACAGTATTGCGATTTCCAATGACTGCTACAAGTACATTCATTACAAATTACAGTTACCATTGTACCATTGTAATTGACACCAGGTATGACCTGAACCAGCATTTGCACCCAAGGAGTCCCCTATCTAAGCCATGTGTCACACAGTTTCACAGGTCTGTATTCCACCTGGGGTGAGACCAGGGGTTAATTTCAGCCGAGGTCTGTCCGTGTCGGTAACCTAAAACATTAACCTCTAGCGCCTCGCATCCAATAACAACCACAGCTATGGTTGTGGCGTGCTACTGATCACGCGCCACCTACTCCAGTCTACCAGCGACCGGAAATATACTCAGAATGTTATTCCTGTTTGAGATCATATTTTACATGTCAGCCCCGCGTTCTTCCTCTTGGCTGGTATCAGCAGGCTACGATTGGTCTTGGATGGAGGCTATTACGTCTCTGCCATTCGTCACACTCTTTAGCGCGTCGTGTATGTGTACATCTTCATGATCGTTATATTATAATACGAGAGTTGGAAGCGGTTTTAATTGACTGGATACTTGGAATATTTAGATTTGCGCTGGAGCAACACGAGGCGCTGGCTGTGTGCTATTGCTCCGCGTGTAGCTGCTTTAAAGTCGCCGTTTTGTACCTCTCTCGTCTCTTCTGTTGTCACAGCCTCCGACCGGGACTCGGAGCTCAGGCCCTACCATGGAATAAAAAAACACCCCTGCGAACTCAGTCCTCGAGTCTCGAGTCTTAAATTCTACATTCAAGTCTCTGGTTCCAAAATTCTATGTCTCGGGTTCTAGAATCGTATATATCAATGAGATCCGGAGTATCTGGTTTCGGAGCATCTGGTTTCAGAGTCTCATCCCCGAGTCTAAATTTTCCGAGTCCACAATCTTGGGTTCTAGAGTCTTAGGTTCCCGATTTCCTGAGTCTTAATTTCCAGAGGTGTGGTGTCTCGAGATGTAATTTACCGAGATGCTGATAGAAAATAATGTAACCCACCTTTGGTCTTGTCACTATGACATTTATTAGCTTGTGGCCTAGCGTAATGGACAGGACCATGAGGTGGTTCTTGTGGCAGGCAGTATAGCAGATAGAGCTTGAGAGTGCATCTCGATTGTGGCAGTTGCATTCCTCCCACACGGGCATCGCACCCAGTATGTTTTGGGACAAACATCCTTAGCAGGATCCTTCCGAGTATTCAGAGTCCGAGAACATTTCCTGGACGAACAAAGAAACGTCTCTATAACCAAGCAAGAGACCACGGAGGCATTTGGGGACATTTGGGGTGATCGTAAGGTCGGAACATTGTCCGAGTGAACTTTGCTTGTTCGGAGCTCTGTTGGTGGCCCTGGGCCAAGGATGTTTATTCCATATTGCAATAGCCGGGGTGAGTATACCTATGAGATCACCATTGTTAACCCCCCACAAAGTTGTACCTATTTTATCGACCCCGGAGGAATAAGGCTTCCGAGTTAATCGCCAAGCCTGTAATTGAACTTGAAACTATCATTGCGAATCGAGCGTTCTCATCAAAGTAACATCACTCAATAATCTTGGTTAGATTAAACCATTGCTTACAAAATGGTACGTGTGCTCAATCATCTTTTGCACCGTACGTAGCCAACCGTGCCAATCGGAGGTGCGGAGTCAAGACAACAAACACAAAACCAGTTATACAGAAATGAGTGTTAAATCTAGATTGAAAGTGCATAGCTCCAGTGGCTTCCTAATATCTGAAGAGCGTTCCAGACGGCCACGCGATGCGGTGACCCGTCTTTCGAGTCGTGCCGGTGCTATATAACTCGTCGAGAGCATGCGTCTCAGGTGCATGACAACGTGGCTTTACCTGGAATTATTTGGGACATGCGGGTGCAACTTACTTTGCTTGCCCCGTGACACCACGTGCACCGTGCTTCTCCCTCCGTCACCGTAATACTGTCGAGTATTCCATGCAACCAGCGCGCAGAAACCGGCCCCCACTACAGCCACACCCACCAACTGCCTAAACGGACCAATCAGCGCGCGGAACCCGCCACCCTTAGCACCGCCTCCTTTACGCCCACCCCCTATGCAAAAACCCCGCCCACCCATAATAATCACCGCCCACTCTCTTGGTTTAAACCCCGCCCGTCGCCGTACTAATCCACGCCCACCATGCTCTAGACCCGCCCACGCGCGGCGGGGTCAGGGGTCGGGTGGACTGAGTGGCGAGCGGCATGAAGAAGTGTCATGTCGCGCGCTGTCAGTTCTCGGCGTGGTACGCAACCTTCAGGGCCCACACCATCAAGAGGTCAGCGGCTGGCCCCGTTGGCGGCGGCTCCGTGGCGGCGGCGGACGCGGTCTGCGAGACGGGCGGCTTTGCGGCGCGGCGTCGCGATGCCCGTCGCGTTGAGGGTGCTCCGCTGGCTCTTAAGATGTTAAACCCTCCTCGCCTGGTGTGCAGGAGGTCGTGGGTTCGATGCCTACCCCGACCCCTGCGTTTAGAGTGTTTGGCTGCGATACCTTTCCACGTGATTAGCCACTTGGTTGAGTTATTATTTGTGACCAGGTCGCTTCTGAACAAGAGCGATGTCGCTCGGTGGACCTTGCCTGGTTAAATAAAAAGTTTAGTTTAGAGTCTCTGTGGCCTGAGGAGTTAAAACCGGCTGCACTCGATCTGAGCGGCCCGTTGCGCGTAGCTGTGGGTTGCCCGTAGCAGTGGGTTGCCCGCAGCAGTGGGTTGCCCGCAGCAGTGGGTTGCCCGCAGCAGTGGGTTGCCCGCAGCAGTGGGTTGCCCGCAGCAGTGGGTTGCCCGCAGCAGTGGGTTGCCCGCAGCAGTGGGTTGCCCGCAGCAGTGGGTTGCCCGCAGCAGTGGGTTGCCCGCAGCAGTGGGTTGCCCGCAGCAGTGGGTTGCCCGCAGCAGTGGGTTGCCCGCAGCAGTGGGTTGCCCGCAGCAGTGGGTTGCCCGCATGCGAATGTCTCCGCGAGGCGACTTGGGGTTGCGCAGCTGAGGGCCTGAGGTGTGGGGGACCCCGCCTCTTGACTCGTGCCAACGGTGGATTATTCAAAGAAACGCCTGCGGTTGGCATTGCATTGAGCGTACGTAGGTCATCATCTATTTATTGGCCGCTAATGAAAGTATAGCGGCCTTGCGCGTTTCACGTCACGGCTAGAAGGGGATGGGTGGGCCGGTGGTCAACAATAAATGACGCGTTCGAAAGGACGACCACAGAGGGAGATGGAGCGATATGAGGAGATCGGCTCCTGTGCAAGCGGCTGGATGGAATTGTTTTTTTTTGTTACATCGCAGGATCGTGAGAGATGGCAAAGGCTTAGGAGAGGAGGTCTTCGTCCAGCAGTGGATTGACCACGGCCGGTTATGATGGTTATTGGTGAAGAGTATGAGGGTTTATGTAATTGTTGTGTTCGGATTAGAGTATGGTCTCGGGCTACACCCAGCTTCAGCTCTGGCCCATCACGAGCTCGGCTTGTGTTGGAGAGGGTTTGGATCACATACTGTATATGATTGAGGCGCTAGTTGGATTCAGGTTCAGGCTGTGGTGTCTCCCAACTGCTGTTTGGCTAAAGTCAGGGGCAGGGTCAGGTGCAGCCACGATAGCCCGACCCTCACGCGATGTAGCCTGCTGTTGGTTGTAGCCTGCTGTTGGTGTGGGCTGGGCATTACTGACCCTAACTCTAACCCATAACCCCTTAAATCAAAACACCTAAACACTAACCCATTAATCCTTTACCTCCAACCCTGAACCCAAACACCTAAACCATATCTATACATCCAAGCCTCTAAACCCGTTACCCCAGTATGACATTATGCCCAACCATAATGATGTTGTGGTGGTGATGGAAGACGTTTATTATAACGATATATTCGTGGTGGTGGTGGTGGTCACGTGTAATGAGCGATGTTCATGGTGGTGTTTGGGTGATGTTCGTCGTGGTTGCGATGAGTGATGTGTGATTGGTTATGTTTGTGGTGGTGATGTCTGATGAGCAGTGTTCGTGGTGGCGTTGATGAGTGATATTCGTCATGGTGGTGATGTGTGATGAGTGGTGTTCGTGTTGGTGATGTGTGAAGAGTGGTGGTGATATTCGTCATCATCGGTGGTAGTACTAATGGGTGATGAATGCCGCCGTCTCCATGCGTTGCAGCATTGTGATTCCACTGCCCCAGGACGTGATCTCCTACCTCCTCGACGACGGCACCGTCGTCATCCCGGGCAGGTGAGGCTCGGTCAAACATGGCCAGTTGGCTCGCGGGGATTATAATGGCCGTGTTAGAGACTCTTGAGCCAACATCGCCAAAACCCCGGGTCTGGATCGGAGCTTTAGCTGCCGTGAATTAACCTGAATTTTCAAGCGCAGCGAGTTAATGGTTTCAACCTGGTCACTGATAACCGCACAAAAAATCCCATCATGTTACATTTGGTTCTGCACTTCATTTGGCTAAATTGTAGCTCTGACACTTAAAAGGACAACTCAATGTGGTTGGCATTAGATGAAAACTGATTCATAATAATACATGATTTATAACGTGCAGATATTTTGATAATCGGACATAACATGCAATCAAGAACTCAGAGGCACTGAGGCAGAGTTCAAAGTTCCTCGTATGCCAGCCCGGACAGCTGAGAGCCTGGATAGATGACAACCTGGACAGGTGAGGGCCTGGACAAGTGAGATTTTAGCTTCTGCTTGAAGGTGGATGGTCAATGGATGCTGCATTTTCAGAGCATATAGGCGTGCCTCTAGCGTCCATAAAGAGTGCTATCGGAGGGAATTAGTCATTCTGTGACATCGCCTTCTGGGATCACACTTTAAAACGTGGCGATACGCCACACACTGTGAAAGCTTCTGCAATAACATGACACGAGTAGTACAATTGGGGTGTAATCCGAGAAACACCTGAATAAAGAGTTACAAAGAAAACACGAGGCTCGGCTCCCCGTTACCTGTACACCTGCCTCGTACTGCTTACCTGTACAGTGTCACCTGTAAAGTGTCACCTGTCCAGCTTCACGAGTGCAGCCTCATCTGTCTAGCCTCACCTTTACAACCTCACCTTTTTCGCTTCACCTGTACAGCTTCAGGAGTACAGCTTCACCTGTGCAGGTTAAGACGTTGAGGATTTGACAGCTCATGTTCCATGTGACCCCGCAGGCTAGAGCCGGCCCGAGCAGAAGCGGAGGACAGTGATGACGTCCAGGTTTGTGAAGAACCTGTCTACCACCCACGGCCTCACTGCATCGCCCACTCCCTCGCCTGCTCCCTCACGCACGTCGCACTTGACGGATGCTCGAGATCCCAGCGGTGCTCCCCCAGCCTGTCGGGCCAGGCCGCATGTTAACGTTTTTTTCTCTCAAGGTTCCGGAACCACGTGCCACTTGCGGGCGCCATCTGGAGCTGAAGTGAGAATTCTCTCCCGGTTTTTTACGAACGGCTGTTTACGCCGACGCCGTATAAGACAATGGCTGCAAATCCCTGTGTCGACTCGAGTAGATGCCCGAAGTAGTTTGTGGTGAAAGCTTGAGAAAAAAAAACACGGCCTCACTCGGAAGACCTCACTTTGGATTGGGTCGCCGACTCCTCAGCTGCAGCTTTGGTTGTTGCTGTGGCATGCATGTGTGTGATGTGGGTAGCGTCTGTGCGTCCATGTGTCCTGCGTGCACGTGTATGTACATGTGCAGCGGTTACTGCGCTGTGCTATGAACCCGGCAACCCGATTTTTATTC